TCACAAATATAGCAGCAGGGCTTGTTGCTGCTGTTGGTGTTACAGATTGGATGATACAGTCATTCCACATAAATCACATAATTGTTTAGGAAAGACAGTGCAGCAATAGATGATTCTGCTGCAGATTTAACTTCCCAGGGATCAAGATGACATTTTAAAATTGTTAAGATAGAAGGAATTACCCAGGAAGCATAGGAGGGGTGTGTCTGAAACATAAAGCTATACTATTAAGTGCTATAAATAATATGTAGAAAAGATGTGGAAAATATTCAATAAAAATATTCTCCAAAAAATGACAAAAAATCAATTAAAATATTTACCAAAAGAAAATGTGGCAAAGTGTCAATGAGAGTATAAACACTGGACAGTGGCCTTTCGGTTTATTAGCCTGCATATGCACAAAACAGCATTTTGTCTAATAATGGAAAAACACAGCTGCCAGACTGGCCTTTCTATTCCCTCATGTTAACACAACGGTAGTTTTACAAGTTCAGTTTAACAGACGGCATTGACAGGTGGTGCTCTGCAGCCTTCCCAGTTTTTACCCAGTTCCTGCTATGCTTCCACCTATATACTTTGCAATCAAATGACACAGCTATGAGTGTCTCTCACTCGACATGATTTCTGCAGCCTTGGTGGTGGTGGTCTATGTGGTAACTGCTGAAAGGATACAAGAATTGGAATATCCGTCTGGTTTCCTTATCTACATCATTCCTGTTTTCAGCAATACACAACAGAGATTTTATGTGGATGGATAAACAAGAATAGCCCATAGCAGCACTTAATAAAGCACAGTGCTCTGAACAAGAGCACAATATATTTTTTTCAGATTGCTGGCTGTAATTGGTATTATCCTACATATATGAAAAGCCACTGTGCTTGCTAGGAATGCGCATCTGTTCTGTGTGGGCTTAAACAATAATAATAAGGCAAACTGGGGTCATTCAGGGTTGAAGTACAATGTCAATAACTCCCCTACCCTGATATGGATCAGGGCCCTCGCAAAGACTTGTGTCACTCTGTTCCTGTGATTTTCTGTATGCTTGTCCATATCTTTATGTTTGTTATGTGTCAATGGGCTTTGCAAGAAGTGAGGCTGTCCAATATGTTGCTTGTGAAGTATTAAAGAACTCTGGATTTTATTTTATTTTCACTAAAGTACAGCAGCAGAGTTGTTGCTTTAAAAACAACAACTTCAAGATTTTAACAACAACAACAACACATTCCTAACAAAAAAATCCTACTTTTATCAACAGCAACAAGAAAAATTCTTCAGAGTTCTTCAGACATTTGCGACAGCTTCACATTTTAAGGCCCATCGAAAGCCTGTAAGGGTATTGGAGGATATAACCCCCAGAAAGCAAAGGACAGTGTGAAGCTGAAAAGATTTTAAAACAACAACAACAACACGGAGCAAGCAAGAATACACACCTCTTGACACATCTCTGAATTATTTCAAGAAAAAAACAAATAACAGTTCCCACGCCCGTAAGGGATTATGGAAAACAGTGACTCAGAAATAGATTATAATTGTAAAATAAAATAAACAAATACAGAGAAAAAGCAAATCTTGGTGCCCAAGCACACCTCTAATGTTGTGTGTTCTGCTCATGGATTATTCAGTGAATGGTTTAAAAAGACAGTTTACACAACTGTTATGGATTTATCATTGACAGGCATTTGGTTAGGAAGTATCTTATTGATCTCTTAATTGAACTATCACTGCCCACTTCAAAGCGCATGTCATACTGTTATTGATTGCCTTAGTTCTATGGCCTAAAAAGAAGGAATACTAGGATGTTCCAGCAAAGCTGCAAGCCTATGAAATGCTGAACAAGCCCAAGAAGGGTGACCTGAGGAACAATTTCAGGAGAAGATAGAAGTTTCTGTGTTGTCAGGCACAGCAGAGTCTGGGTCAACTCACATGGGAGACACAATGGAAATTGTTTAAACAAAGGTCTGCTTCTGTGAACACCTAGACCAGAGGTAGGGAACCTCAGGCCAAATGCTACCTTTCAAAAGTCTATCAGGCCTTTGAAATTCTCTCCAAGCCACATCCCCTCTCTAGTCACATCACCGGCCTTCCTGTGATCCTCTTTGAGTGTTTATACATGACTATAGTGTAACCCTGAAGATGCATAATTATTCTTGCTTGTCTGGAAGGAAAATAGCAGAGTGTTTATATTTATTGCCTTTGGTCCTACCCACCAGTGTTAAGTGGACCCTGGAATGTTGCTGAGAAGGGAATATGGCCCTTGTGCTGATTCCCCCCCCCCCCCCAGCCCTGAACTACACAATGGACATACCCTACTACGAGTCCAAGCCTCACCCTAGCTGCAATTGTAGGAAAGACCGTCCCTTGACTAGGAAACTAATTCTCTGACATCACCTGGTTCTTCAACAGCTACATCCTCAATCTGCTGTGCCTTGAATTTACATGAGAGCCCACAGCCTTGGGCAATAGGATATATCACAGATATGAAGCTTATAACCCTCTAGCTGTTGTCAGACTATAATTCCCATCATCCATCATCACCAGTTCCGCTAGCTGAAGCTGATGGGAGCTGAAGTCCCTAAACATCTCTAAGGCTACTGGTTCCCCTACCTTTCATGAGGATAGAACTGTAGGTTCTTATTTCACATTTGAGGACTCTGAGAGGAGTATTTGACTAAGTTTTACTCAGACTACACACATGGAAATTAATGGACTTAACATAGTTATGCTCAATTATTTTAATAAGTCTACAATGTGTAAAACTTAGTTGAATACCAGCCGTACTGCTTGGCCTCAGAAGAAGTCGAGAATGGCCAGCTTGCAGAATCCTATATACGCACTTCCATGGGGACGTTTTCTGTCCCCAAATCACTGCATAGTTTCACATGAGTAGGCAATGTAAAATTTGCTGAGTCCATATATCTGCCAAGGTTCATTCCTGTTAAAATAATAAAAAAATGTTTTGATTTTAGCAAAACAAATCCTTTAAAATGCCCATTTGCATAGATGGCAAATCACATGCCCTGAACACATAGTAGGATAGTGGAACTGTGCATTCTCGATGTTTGTATAAATTGAGCATAGAGTATACAATTTATACTTTAAAATGATGCAAAAACCACACATGACAACCCAGCAGTACTTATGCCATAAAAAGGGGTACTGTAAGTCAAACTCTTTTTTAAAGCTTGTTTTAGTTTTATTTATTTGTGAGTCCATTCAAAGCATATGCAGATTGCATACAAACATGCATAAAGGTGATTTGATTATATATTTCAGATCTGCAGAAGCAAACCCTACGGGCAGCAGCAGTCTACATACACATACCTGATCCCACATGATATACAGGAAAGTGCAGTCATGTGTCTAGACAAAAGGTCCCCAAAGAATTCTACCAGTTGCCAAAACCAGTTTATTTTAGTAGTGACAAACATAATTTGCTATCAAATTCAAGTTGGGAAATTCACAACTCGGTATTGAAAAGAATGCAACATGAGCAAAGGACAAAGTGTGACTAAATCTGGAGTCATTTGGGATTAAAACTACAATGTGGTTTATTTTAGAAGAGCTTCTACTAACTACAGGCTGCTGCAGCAGTGAGTCACTCCAGATGGGAGGATATCACATTCCCAATTAAAGGGCATTTACAGTACTTTCTGTTTTAAAGCTTTTCAACAACCTCACTGGTTGTAAACATTATGCTAATGTGTCAGATGATGGGGAGAAGCACTTCTCTAGGATATGTATTTAGGTGAAAAACAAAAGCACTGATTTAGCAGGCAACCAAAATTAATATATTCCAGTCCTGATTTCCAGAGAAATCTGTTTCCACATCTTCAGTTAGCATCTGCATTAATTAGAAAGGATATTCTGGTATCTTCAGTTTCTGGCCTTCCAGACTCCTTTTAATATATATTTTTTCATTTGTCTAAAGCATTTATATACTGCTTTTCAAGGTATACAGCCACTCAAAACAGTCTGAACTGGGTTGTTGTTGTTTATTTAAAAAAGAATATATCATCGTCTCACTAGAAATTAACACAATGGAACAGAAGAAAAAGCCAGCAAAACAGCTTTTTCAAAAGTGAGATGAACTCATCAGCCAAACTGAGCACCCTGCCCAACAAAACCAAAACCACTAGGGCAAGTTGGAAACAGCAACTTTTCACCCAACACAAAAAATATAACCCAGCACCCAGTGAGCATACCTGAGATGCAAGTTTCTTAATAGTTTCAGACTATTATTTACAACATGTAATAATTACTTTTGCATTCAGAGTTTGAGGGATAGAGGAGACAATCTTCTGAATTCAAGAAACTGGTGGAGGCTGCAAGGATTTCCCCCCCTTAAAATGTAGGGATGGAGAATAAATTTGATCCTGTTTACATTTATATGTGAACACAGCCCTCCTTCTTAAATTCACGCTTCTCCAAATTTTTCAATGCAGTTACAGCCAGGTAATGTGTACCAAAATGTGTATATTGAGTAAAGTATGCATTAGGAAAAACAGCATACCAAAATGCATTACTTTAGGGGAAATTGCTTTGCAATTATGTGTATGTATCAGGCACAATGGCATACAAATCGCAAAATACACATGAGAACTTAGAGTTGATTTTCAGTATAGTTATACGAAAGCAAAAGCAAAAATCCAAAAGACAAATAAAATACAAAAACAACGAACAGGGTAGAGGATGATGACAAGCATATGTCAGTGCCAGAAAACAAGAGTCAGTTCAAGAGTTCCAGATGTCAACCGATTCTGCCGTGAGCTGTTGTTGAAAGTGGCATTCGTTAACATATAAAGTTCCACCGTGCAGCATGAAAGGCGTCATGTTTTTGAAGTGCCCTGAAAAGCTCAAAGATTAAATGGAATTTTTTTCCAGCTACGGCAATGTTCTAAGCCTTGTACCATAGTGCAAGGTTTAAGTCTTGTAAGGTCTTCCATCTCTGTACAATAGATAAGTGCACATCAACCAATGAAAAGATCAGTAATTCCTTAAATTTAGTATTGCTCAGTTGGTAGAGCATGAGACTCGTAATTTCAGGGCCATGGGTTCAAGCCTATGTTGGGCAAAAAGATCCCTGCATTTCAGGGTGTTGGACTACTGACCTTTGTGCTCCCTCCCAACTCTACAATTCTATGATTCTAGGCAACCCTCAAATATAGATAGGAGGGGTAACAGGGATGACATTTGAATTTGTTCATTAAGTGTGACTCCTATATCCTTAAATATCATTAAACAAGATTCCTAAAGCTGGGCACAGGTACACTATAAGTGAAAATATGTACCCTGGTCTCCACAGCCTCACCAGCAACCAGGGGCCATGTTTGATAAAATTCTGGAGATCTGCACCGCACTCTCATACACCATGATATACATTTAACATGGTTTCTCTTGTATTTCCTGGAATACAAGATTTTACTGGCCTTTCCATTTAACAACATGGCTAAAGTGTAAAATAGTAATTTCAGTTTTAGTGAGGGGTCTAGTGGCTGTGTGGCTGTGTCACCTGATGAAGACACAACCAACCCGTGCCCAGCTAATGCTGACAAGTGCATCATTCTTGAAAAAGTCATACATTCAAAAATAACCCTGATACTACCTAATGTATTGTAGAATCACTGACTATGGGGGGATTAAGGGTGAACACGCTGGGGAAATTTGACCTTGCCACTTTTTCCAAGTCCATAACATAGTGAAATTGTTAAGATTTTTTCCCCAGCTGTGTAAACGTAATGTGTCTAAAAGTACTTTCCTGTAGGGATCGCAGACCCAGCGGATCCTATTCCAGATTTGTCCATTCCTTGTGCATAAATTCCACGTGCCAGAGCTGGAATGCCTCATAATATAAATTATTATTAGATAGTTCATCATATTTTTAAGAAAGAATTTTCATAGCCAGATGTGACCACTCACCTTGAAAGAACAATAGGGAGGGCCTGGGATTAAAACAAAAAAGGATCACAGCATGATCTTCATCTGAACTGTTGCTATCCTCCCTTAAGCTTGGTAACTGAATGCTCCCCTTAGCCCATCTGTTCAAATTTCTCTCAGTGTGGGTCAGATTTCAAACTGAACAGTCTAAACCAGGGGTAGGCAACCTAACGCCCAATCGCCTTTTCAATCCGGCCCGCGGATGGTCTGGGAATCAGCGTGTTTTTACATGAGTAGAATGTATCCTTTTATTTAAAATGCATCTCTGGGTTATTTGTGGGGCATAGGAATTTGTTCATTTTTTTTCCTTCCAAAATATAGTCTGGCCCCCACAAGGGCTGAGGGACAGTGGACCCGCCCACGGCTGAAAAAGGTTGCTGACCCCTGGTTTAAACAGTTTTCTAGGGATATGCACCCCTAAGTAGCTGAATGCCTTATGGCATTAGGGAACTCAAGCAATTTTACAGATATGCACCTGCTCTGAAGGTTGAATGTGAAAGAACATTATAATAGGTTTATCGAAATTTGATTCCAGGTCCTGCTATTTCCTCAACAAAGCAAAGCTCCTTCTATAACGTCAGCATGGCTCAGGCATGGTTCTTTAGCTTTAAAATAATGTCTTCTTCATAAAGGTTGATCTGCTGCTTTTCACCCTCTCCTGGTAAACTTCTATAAGTGAATATTGTCTCAACGCTTCTGCCAGGGGTTCCCAGGAGAGGATGAAGAACAAGGGAGATAAGAGGCATCCTCATTTGGCACCACACTGAATGGAAATAGGTTGCATATCTAAATGGTTTGCACATACCATTGCAAAATTTTGTTCTATCATTTTGATATAACCCCAATAAATTTATCATGCTTTTAAGGTAAGTTTCTTTGCCTAAGAAGCATCTTAAGCATATCTACCACAGCTTTCTTTTTAGCATGCTTTACCATCTACTTGAACTGGACATGCTTAAATGCATGCTTTAATTTCATGCTTGTTTTCATTGCTACAAAGATCTCAGAGCTTTGCTTTCAAATGACCCAGTTTTAAAAGTATGCAACCTACTGTCAGGCCACGTATAAGAATCACACATTAGCTTCCGTTATGGCTACTGTATGCTGCTTTAATATGCACACATTAAGCATTGTAAGTCTAAATGTATCATACTTCAAATCCTCAAGAGGAAGCTTGAGGATTTGCAAGTCCCAGAGCCTTATATTTACAAAGCCTGACCTAGTTTGTTCCTCAAATGCCACATTTGTAATGTAAGTCTCTGAAGATCCAGAGTTAAGGTCAGCTTTTTAAGTATAAATAAGTTATGAGCCTTTCTTAAATCTTCAACTAAGGTTTCCCACCTTTTGAAAACAAAACACCTGCCACCAAAGACAGAATGTCTCATAGAGCGGGGGGGGGGGGAATCGGTGATAGGAAGAAATTTTGGTTTTTAATAACTCACCACCAGGGAGGAAGCATCTCTAAGCATGTACAGAGTGCCTTTCTTCTAGGAATAAATTGATAGCTGAGTCAGTACAGCATGAGACTCTTGATCTCAGGGTTGTGAGGTTCAAGCCCCACATTGGGCAAAAGATTCCTGCATTGCAGGAGGTTGGACTAGATAACCCTGGTGGTCCCTTCAAACTCTCTGATTCTGTTTCTATGATTCTGTGATATCAGATATTCTGTAACTTGAGTACCATTCTGGTCCAAAGGAACTTCAAAAGGAAGAACAGAATATGAAATTATAATTATTGATTAATTAAGAAGTTTAATGTCATCACTTGTGGGTTAAATTAAGGCAAATGGTTTTATTACACTACATGAGTGCATATCCAGAATACTGCAGCTGGCGAAATTGTCTGGGTGGAAATTGGGAAATGACTGCGAAAATCTGGACGTATGGCAGCCCATGGCAGCAGAGCCGTTTTTGCCATTTCCCCATAAAAATAGATCAAAAATGGCATTTGTAAAGCAATTTTGGGCAAAAACAAAAGAAAGCAAAACAAGAACTCAACAACTTTGCCAAAAAAAAAATCAACAACACTTTTTTCTGGATTTTCACTGTCTGAAATATGGCAACACTACCAGAAGGCATCTAATTGCATTCAGATGAACATGCTTAGAAGACCCCTTCAGATCTTCTCATACAAAGCAGAACATTTTAGGGTGGAGCATGTGTACTTGATGCATACAGGGACACTAGAGTGTACCTGAGGTGTTTCCCTTGTACACATTGTGTTTCATTTGCATTTTTTAAATTGCACAAAGAAGGATTCATGCTGTAGTGTGAATCATGAACTGGGACCTTGAAGATCTATTGCCAGATAGAGTAGACAACACTGAACTAGTTGGACCATTTGCCTGAATCTGTATTAGCAGCTTCATATGGTCAAATCAAGCTCCAGTGTATTTGTGGTCAATCTGATTGACTCAATAGCCCTTACAGCAAATAACTTCATCGGACAGATGTGAGAAAATGTAAAAGTGCAAAGCATATTTCAAAAGTGCTATGGTGATAATGAAAAATAACACCTTGTTATTCACAAGCATACCTCAGCAAATATAAAATGCCACTGAAAAAACCTGCATTTGGCATCACATGAATGCAAAAATTAGTGTATCTGCATTTTGAAGGGTTTCTTGTACTTGTCCATGGGGGTAGCTTTGGCTATAAATCTGGCTTTTGCTCTTTGATTCTTCTAGGTGTTCAAGAATAGCTTTGCAAGAGACATTTCATTCCAGTCTGTGACAGACACTTGGCAACACAGTAAACTCCCATCAGTTTCTAAATAAAACATACACCATATTGTAGCAGTTCTGAAATCTGCATATTATACAGCATGCATCCCATTTCAAGTAAAATGTCCACTGTTTGTCAGGATTTTGTTAGCATCTGTACTTAAATTGTAATCAATATCAGAGAAGGAGGTAGGATGGAGCCCTTCCCTTCTACCCTCTTCTGAAGTCGGTTTAGGAAAATCTGTCAAGGCAGCCTAATATCCCATCCAAACCAAGCAAAATCCTTTGACAAACTGATACAGGCTGGGATATATGCATCCACATGTAATATACATGAACGTTGCACTGGGGTTTTTTGCAACTGCAGTGTGAAAATCAAGTGAAATTGGATTCAATCCTTGTTGGACTTCATGCCAATGTTCATGAAAAGCCAAGCAGATCATGCCTCCTACATGGCAGTTTCATAATCAATCTGCAACATGAAAAACTGGCTCTCTCTCTTCATCGCCTGGGGGATTGGGAGCTTGTTCAAACATTACCATCCTCCCAGAAAAGTGTTCCAATATAGAGATGATCTACTCAAGAAAGACCCTTTGGTAGGGTCCCACATTGTGCACACTGAACATACAAAGTACAGGATCTCTTCATGAGTTATACTGAACATGTTTTACTAGGGAATGGAACTAGTGAAGCTCACCACTGCTCCCCCTCCATGTTTTCATTCTACATGCCATGTTGTGTGAACAAGACCACTGTCAATAATTTCAATGGGGCCTGTGTAGGAACTTCCCGAAACATGATACATATTGTGCCCCCTGCATAATACAGCAAGAAGTCAGATGTAACTTTAATTCAAAATGTAATCGGCATATAAAAATTTCATGCAAACTGAAATGCAGGATACCCACTCGATTTGTTCAGGCCTTTTCCTGAATAGGTTAAGGTAAAGGTAAAGTACCCCTGGGTGGTTAAGTCCAGGCAAAGGCAACTATGGGGTGTGGCGCTGATCTCGCTTTCAGGCCAAGGGAGCCAGCGTTTGTACACAGACAGCTTTCTAGGTCATGTGGCCAGCATGACTAAACCACTCCTTGCACAACGGAACACCGTGACGAGTGCCAGAGTGCACGGAAACTCTGTTTACTTTCTTGCTGCAACAGTACCTAGTCTTCTATTAGCGCTGGTATGCTTTCAAACTGCTAGGTTAGCAGGAGCTGGGACAGAGCATCAGGAGCTCACACCATCGCTTGGATTCAAACCACCGACCATCTGATCGGCAAGCCCAAGAGGCCCAGTGGTTTAGACCACAGCGCCATCCGCTCCCTGCTGAATACCGAAAGGGAACACACACAGGCCCCTTTCTCAACATCTCCTGACTGCTCTTCAGGCCACTGGGCAATTAGCACCAAGTCAGAAGAGGGTTTGTAAGAGCATACAATTGAACACGCTTAGAAACCTCTCTGTGAGTAGGAATCCAATTACAAGGTTTCCAATTGCAGGATGAGTTTCTAAGCGCATTCAATTGAATGCACTTAAAATCCCTCTTCAGACCTTTGCACTAATTGTGTGAAGATCTGAAGAGCTGTCTCTAAGTTCAGGGACACTGGAAAATAGAGTGTGTGCGCACACCCTCTCTTTCCCTGATTTAACTCTTTGCTGGTTCAAGCAAATGCCTGAGCACAACTACTGTATTTATAGATGTTGGAATTGTAAGCTTAAAGAAGAAAACAGCACTATACCTGTCAATATACAATTTTTAAGATACCTGAAAGAAGTTTAAGAGGGGTAGCGCTTACTATGTTGATTGCACTTCGGTGATTAAAAACACTTCAGATAGGCTTACTTACTAGTGAAGGAACAAATATACCATAAGCAGTGGTCCCTTTTTTAAAATTGTCTTCAGCTCTCTGAAGCCATATGCATGTCTTCTTTTTAACAAAAAAGTACTTTTTGCTTGCAATTAGAATTTTGGAAAAGTAAATTTACACACGCACACATACACCCCATCTCTCTCTCTCTCTCTCTCTCTCTCTCTCTCTCTCTCACACACACACACACACACACATTATTTCAGTGTATGCATATGTATTTCTTCTCTGCACTGTTTATTGTGGACTGCATTTATTCCAAGTCAATAAATCCAGATTAGAAAGATGCAATATTGTTGTGTTGTGTAGGTTTACTATTGGATCTGGCATTGTATTTTGATATTTTTGTCTTATTCTTTTAAAATATAAAAAATGAGCCACTCCAGGTCTATCTTTGATGGTGACAGGTGGGATATAAATTATTGAAGCAAATAAATACAAATCAATATGTGCTGGCTGGTTGTGGGTACTGCTGCCCTGTCCGTCAGCATCTGTTGCCCAAGGCAACAGCCTTACTCTTTCTAATGGCAAGTGGGGAAAGGAGTTAAATCCTCCTGCAAAGATTAAAAAATATTTGAGGTGAGCCTTAGGAGCTCCAAGACTCGTACTGAGCAAAAAACACAAGTTTCAGTGATGTCTCTCTACCTCTTGAAACTAAGAGCACAACCTCAGCCAAGACCAAGGATTAATTCAAGGACCTTATTTTGAAAAGAATAAAGGCTTCTATACCAAAGAATGTGCAGAATGAACTGATGGTGTATAAAATATAAAGACAGAACTGCAGTAAGCAGCGTAGTAAGCTTATGAGGGCTTGAAGTTCATCTCCTCGCTGCCAGCCGGACAGAGCTTTAATTTGCTTTCTGTGAAGGAGAGAATAGAGCTTTAGCTCCAGCTGTAGCAAGAGGCCAACTTGCTTCCTGCCTTGCAAACAAACCAGCCTGTGTGGACTGTGTAGTCAACAGGAAACAAACAAAGCAGCCCGGCAGAGTTGTGAGACATTCAAAATATTTGTAAGTCTTTTTATGTTGGTAGGATTGTTAACATTCATGCCAAGGGTATAAAACGTGTGTAAATATCACAGTCTGACAGTGTGGCATTCAAGGGTGTAAATCAGGCAAACAAAAAAGCCAACCACATCAGAGTTTAGAATTTTGGGGAGGTAGAAATGCATGGTTCAAAATTGTTGCATAGAGTTTTTTAAACTACCTCAGCATCATAAGACTTGCTTTATTCCCTGTATGTAGTTCAAACGCATCCAGTTTGCAAAATGGCCTGTATCCATAATAAAGTTGCTTAGATAAGTGAAATTTTAAAACAGAACTGAAGGTTTGGGATACATAGTTGACACAGGTACAGTGGAACCTCAGGTTAAGTACTTAATTCGTTCTAGAGGTCTGTTCTTAACCTGAAATGGTTCTTAACCTGAAGCACCACTTTAGCTAATGGGGCCTCCTGCTGCCGCCACGCCGCCGGAGCCCTATTTCTGTTCTTATCCTGAAGCAAAGTTCTTAACCTGAAGCACTATTTCTGGGTTAGTGGAGTGCGTAACCTGAAGCGTATGTAACCTGAAGCGTATGTAACCTGAGGTACCACTGTAATGATTTCCCCTGCCTCACTGAGTAACACGCTATAGTAATAATAATTTAATAATTTATTATTTATACCCCACCCGTCTGGCTGGGTTTCCCCAGCCACTCTGGGTGGCTTCCAACAAAAGATTAAAAATACATTAAAACATCAGTCTTTAAAAATTTCCCTAAACAGTCATTAAAAACTTCCCTGTAGGAAGAATCTTGTCACTTGGAAGTGAATGTAGTACTGTTTTTTTTTCCCTTTTAGAGAAACAGTATGAGCATGTACACAAAGGATACTGGTAATAACAGAAGCTTACATTACTCAGAACATTTCTCCAAAGAAAAGCAAATGAAAGTAGGGCTATTAAAGGCAGGCATCACTTTCCTTTGTACCATTATAATGCTACCTGG